CCGTAGAAATATGTGAAGACTTTCGAAATATCAGCATGTATCACATCGAACAATCCGTCGCATGGATGACACTCACCACCGGCGGATAGTGCAATAAATCCAATACCCGCAGCAACAGCTGCCCCTGGCGAATTGCCCATAAGTTTGGGATCTAGGAAGAACAAGCCCCAATGATCCGTGGCCAGTCTACCAATGCCAGCCCAAGCAAGGTACAGACTGCTTGCAACCACGGTGCCGGCCACATGTCCTACAACCGGCTGTTCCCACCTTCATGTCAGTTCTAGTTCCTAGCTGTTAGCTTTCTCGAAGTGGTCACTCACACTTGGGCGGCGAATACTGTTGAGGCCGACTACCTCGACGAAGGCGATGAGTGCCGAGATACTCCAGACATTGAGGATACTAAACGACTTGATACCGTCTTCTTCGAATAATCCTTTGTCTATAACGGTATTAGCATCGCCTGATCCATATGGCTCAGTGGCTTTCAATCAATGTGATAAAGAAAGCTCTGGGTTCGGGTATGTTGCTTACTTGGATCATAAAAGATACCCGTGCTGTTGCTCGGGGTATGTTCGTGGTGAGGAAACTCCGGGAGTTTAAATCCACCGTGGCCCGATGGCACAAGGACGGCCCAGTATATTATCGTGTTCAACAGTGCAAAGACATGAACGACCGTATAAAACATGCTGAAGCCCAGTCGTTCGACACTGCTCACCTGATGGGAAGGCGAAAAGAACCGAGCGGCGCGAGTTCGTATAGCTGAGCCCCGACAATTTTCAATTGGCTCTCCGACGCTCGGGTTAAAGGTGTGTAATCCAGTCCATGCCTATTACCACCATCTATTAGGCCTGAAATGACAGAGTGCTACGAACAATCCAATGACAGGAACATACCAGAGTTATGAGATGGTATATCCACTGCAAGACGAAAGCAACTGTGGAAAACTGGAATGGGATACGCCAACCGGTATGGTCGTCCTCGCTCTCGAGCTTGTACTTGAGGGCAACGCCAGCCACCGAGGTTAGGTAGGAGGTGAGGATCGCCCGAATAAAGAACAGGACTCGCTGGTTGATGATGCGCCAGGATGAATGACATGCTCTCAAGGTAATGGGCTGTACTGAGTCAGGGGTCATTTATGACACGACAGAGCAGTAGAGAACATACGTGGCTGTCTCCCTGGGGTGGCTGTTCCCTGGAGGACCGCGGCAGAAGGGGTGTTGTGTCAGTCGGCATGGCAATGGTGGTTTCGCGATGTCACTTGGTCAAAATGGACAGGGAGAGCCGATTTCATGAAACTTAGTTCAAGGATAAGATGTATTTATTAGGATATATAGCAGAATGTAGGAGGCGTCTCTTGAGGGCGGACAGGAGTCGTGGGAGAGTCAACTCAAAATATCAGGGGGAGGATAGCATACCTTGATGAGCTGGGACAAAACAAACCGACTGACGATGGAAACGAGAACGATGTTGGCAGTTGCAATAAACAGCGTAAATGTAATCTACTGGAAGGCGATACTATCGTCCAGCATTGCCAGGGGAGGCATGATAGACCCAGGCGTATTCTCGATAGAAACTCCAAGTCAAGGTGACCCGGAAACAGGAGTCGCGTGAGCCCGAAGAAGGTGCAACATCATCCTACTTCTTAACGATACATGAACGTAGAGGATTGTCACGAAGGAGAGGGGAGCAACAGTAAACGGAAATCAGAACCTCAATAGAGTACCTAAGGACAATCCTTGATGAACAGCCTGAATATTCTATCAGTTTATAGAGTGAAGAATCTCATTTACAGAAAAGCCTTAGAACAAACCTCACCTACCAAAGCAGTCACTCTACCCTATGTATCGGCTATAACTCATCGATGGCCTACGGTCACAAGTGATAGATTCTCAATGTTCATTGATCAACGGCATCACAGTCCCGTGGGTCTCGTGCACGTTCTGAACACGTTAAATACCCGGTGCACTGCACAATACCTACTACCGTCGGTATTCCGTAAAGTTAGTGTACATTCCCCAAACACCAGTTGTACAGTGCATGTAGTAGTTAATAACACTGTCATCGGAACTGTCATCAGGATTATCGTTGGCGGGTTAAACGGGGGCTAGGTCCCTAAGTGCGGAGAATAATCGCCGAGAAATACAGTTTCTGAGTCGGTACGAGGCACTGTACATGGGATCCCGGCAGTTGTCTGTGATTTTGACCGTGTCTACCGTAATATACGGACTGAAATTCGTTGAGATCTGGCCATGTCAATTACCTAATCTGACTTCACCCCATAGCTTGTGCCTACCTGGCCTCAAAACCAACTTCATCTACACCCCAAGGCCGGCGAAGGCTTCAAACATACATTTTTGTATGGCCTGCGCACACCTCTCCAGGACCGATCGCATTCATTTGTGTCGCTCACTCATTCACCTGTTCAGCCATTGATTCGCTCGTCAACCAATTTCCCGATCGACCATGTTGTCAAGTCTCCAGAACCCGCGGCAAGCAGCTGCGCAGCTGCTCAACTTCGCTCTGATCCTGTCCACTGCCTTTATGGTACGTCAAGTTGCTCTTCCTACCATTTGCACTGCTAATAACGCCGGCTAACTCGTTGCGCGATGCAGATGTGGAAGGGTCTCTCCATAGCCGCCGACTCGCCTTCGCCCATCGTCGTCGTCCTCTCCGGATCGATGGAGCCCGCATTTCAACGCGGTGACTTGCTGTTCCTGTGGAATCGCAACTTTTTGGCGGAGACCGATGTTGGCGAGGTTGTAGTGTACAATGTGAGGGGTAAGGACATACCCATTGTTCACCGCGTCGTGCGCAAGTTTGGTATGGGGGAGCACGCCAAGTTATTGACCAAGGGCGACAACAATGCCGCCGATGACACAGAGCTATACGCCCGCGGTCAGGACTATCTCGAGAGGAAAGACATCATCGGTAGCGTCGTCGGCTACATACCCTTTGTTGGCTACGTCACCATCATGCTGAGCGAGCATCCGTGGCTGAAGACGGTCATGCTGGGGATAATGGGCTTGTTGGTGGTATTACAACGCGAATAATAGACATTATAAGACATTATGAAGCCGCGCTTCGTATGTTCGTCGGTGGACGAAACAAGCAAAGATATACCATTGCAGCGCCCCCCGGTGCGCACATGGACTGTACCTTGACAGCCCTTTTCGCCTGTGTTTCCTATGATTGATACTTGACGCCAGCATCCAACTCGGACAATATGTCATAAATGACACGCTTGATGCCAGTCAAGGTCATCACGACTCGAAGCACTCGTTTCTTCATCGTCGATCGGACGGAACACCCCATGCGGATTGAGATAACTTCGAGGCATCAATAGCAACCTGGATGGAATTACTGAAGACAGTGGTACATCTGCCCCCATCCACCGCTCAGAACCGGGATGGGAGCTCGGGACTTCAAGTCGTCGATTACGTGTCGCAAAGGCGATCATTTTTGTGCTAGCCGCTCCCATGTAATGAGGGTCGTTACCGGAACATATCAGTCCAACAGGGGTAAGGTATTGTGCTTGCTTTGTTGTGCTTTCTCCCCATCTAGTTCAATTACCTACCTATGTTCATTACAAGCCATGAGAAGCCGTTCTTGTGCATAGTCATCAAAGAAGCTGATTAAATTATTTACTGTCCTCGTTATCCTATGATTCTTTCTTTGCAAGCAAAAGCATTGTTTTCTTCTCGGCAGCTTGTCAAAATATTAAATCTTTCAAAACTGTATATTCCGTCCCTTGTGTTAGAAGACAGCAGCTTTGTCCCAGTCCATCGCGTGGGCATATATATATATATATCTCCTAGCTGGCGCCATGGTCGACTTGCCCTATCTTCAGCACCTCATCGATCTCACAAGCAGTAACGTCAAAACATCAAACCATCAAACCATCAAAACATCAACGAAAAGCAAACGCACCCGACATACTCAGCATAATGGATTTCCGAAATGTCGACTCTCGCATCCGCGGTGTGCCCGCCGTCCTTGTAACTAGCAGAAACCGGTTCTTATGGACGCCCGATGAATTGGTCCACTTTGAAGCGCATATTAGACGTCACCCGAACGAGGACGAAAGATATGATGATCTGCAGGGCTTGTTGATGAATCTCGACCTCCACGGTTACGAGAATATGGTTAACGTTCACGGCGAAGGTCTCTATTCCATTATCGAGAAGAAGGTGAAAGACAAGATACGGGGGGTGAGAAACGGTATGGATCTCCACGAGCTCCAACCCCAGCCAGACGATCAGGAGAGCCTTCCAGGGACCGGTCTAGGGAACGAATTCATAGAGGGATACAACATCAATATCGTCAACCGTGCTAACGCCGCTGGCCACTGATGTGCCATTCACACCGACGATGCCACAGACCCCGATTTCATCGACCCCGAGAGGCAGGGCAATGGAGGTCATAGCAAATGAGATATACTATAGACGAGAAGTAGTAGCCTTTATGTAGAGCATAAAGCCTAATTTCACACCACCATAAAGAAAATTTTGTGAGCCCTCCAAGATATGTAATATAACGTGACCACGCAGAGCTGAGCTGTGTTATTCCTGTCCATCATATATGACACGGATTATCTTGAATTGATGATCTTCACGGTTCCATCCCACGTGAATATAAGCAACCACACCAGTAATTCGAAAGGGGCTTTCCGGAGGCTATATAGAAATCCAGTACTGAATAATAGCAGGGTAGCGGTTCAATTAAGACGGAAAGAGCCTCGAAGACAGGTAACCGCAGAGTAGGTCCGCACCACAGTTTGCTTACAGTCTGTCCGAGCAGAATAACAAACATGCTACTACGCTTGCGTTTTCCTGTGATGAAGGCGGAGACCCCTTACGAATAGAGAAGTACATGTCTACCTGTGATAAGGGGTGGGGATACTTCGGTCTTCCAAGGATGCAAACAGGACATGTACAACCGGTACGATGTGGCCCGCCGGAAGGGGGATACAACACCGAACAAACACGGCCATGACAAAGACAACCATCATCGTCTAGTGGTTTAGGATACCAGATTTTCATAGACACGCACACACACACGTGATGAATTCTCTGGGGACCGGAGTTCGAACCTCCGTGATGGTGTCCTCTTCCTTTTTCTCTGTTGTTCTTTTGTGTGTTGGTGGCTGTTCCACCCCTTTATCTCGGCTACCGCCCTCGGTCATATCTTTATGCTCAGAGTACTCGCGTTGTCTTTGAATTATTGGACGTTCATGTGCCAAGTTTATCTAATATAACCCTTTGGTACGGAAGGCATTGACTGCGTCAAGGCATGAACTCGTTCAGGGGAACGATCGGAATGCACACCACTTGTGACTTGCCCGTCGATGTAATCAAGTGCCAGTCGTAATGCCAATGAAAGCAACCGCCCATTGTAAATATTTAGTAAAGCCATCCAATGCTGTGTATTTCATATCTCATGAGCAAGAACGTAAAAGTAACCAACACCTAGAGTTGAGGTTCGACTCGTCCGGAATTTTGAAGGAGGGGAGAATAGAGAAGACAAAGATCAAGAAATCCCGCCAGATATACAGCATCTTACTCCCATCGCCATCTCAAATCATGATCTCCCGTAACTACAGGCATCACGAGGTCCCCTTCGTCTTCACCGCGCCCTTGGCACCACCATTCGGTCCAAACATCTCCCTCAGATCCCCAACGAGCGCAGCCGGACATTCCCACGCCGCAAAGTGGCCGCCCCTGTCGTGATCCTTCTCGAAAACAACGTTCCCAAGCACGTGGCCCCAGTATCCAGGCAGGCTGATGACGTCGCGCGGGAAGTGTCCCAGCCCAACCTTGACGTCCTGCCAGGTCAAGATGTCATCGCCCTGCGAGACCCAGATCCCCTTTTCCTGCTTCTCCTTCAGGGTCACGGGGTCGCTGGCGTGCACTACTTCATAGTAGAGCTGGTGGGCGTAGCGTGGCCCCGCCGTCGAGAACCAGTAGATGCTCACCCAGGTGCACACTTCGTCCTCGGTCCAGGGGTACGCGTCCGTCCAGTCCACCAGCTTCTCGTAGATCCATGCCAGCAGCGCCACGGGCGAGTCGGAGAGGGCGTACCCGAGGGTTTGCGGCTTTGTGCTCTGGACTACGAGTGTTTACGTGCGATTAGCTTGTGTTCACCGGGTGAGTAAACCTCAAGACGACATCCAACGAACTCAGACACATCAAAAGAAACAAAGGCAAAAATCATATAACACACCATTGAAATAACCCATCCCTTTCTCTCGAAACCACTTGGTGCGCTCGAAGCCCTTCTTCTCCCTCTCCGAAAAGCCCGTCGCCAATGCCGCGAGCGCAGTGCGGAGGTACGCAATGGGGTTCCTCGTCAGGGTAGGTTGCGGGTAGCGGTCCATATTCAGATGCTGCGCCTTGAGATGGACGGGCGCATACCGTCTAGCCATAGCCCGGGTGATCATGAACCCCCAGTCGCCGCCCTGCGTGGCATACTCGTCATACCCAAGACGGATCATGATCTTGTGCAGGACCTCGCCGTGCTGGTCGATGCTGAAGCCGCGCTTCTTGGAGCCCTCCGAGAACCCGTAGCCCGGCAGCGAGGGCGCGACGACGTGGAACGCGGGCTGCGACGCGTCCTCGGGCTCCGTGAGCGGTTTCAGGAGCTTGGTGACTTCGAGGATGGAGCCCGGCCAGCCGTGCGAGAAGAGCAGCGGAACCGCGTCCGCCCGGCTGCTCCGCACGTGCACGAAGTGGATATTGAGCGGCTCGAAGCCGTCTGCTTGTATGATCGTGGTGAATTGGGCGAATTTGTTCAGCTCGGCCTCGGCCTTTCGCCAGTCGTACTTCTCGGCCCAGTACGTTGCCAGGCGCTTGACGTCCTTGAGCGGCGCGCCCACTGAGACATGCGAGGTCAGCAATTGCGGTCTCGAGCGGGATTGTGCGGACAGTTAAGCCATTTAGACAAGGTATGATCATAACCCGAGCCGGCTTTGTACGATTCAAAACTGATCGACGCCGATATACAGATGATGGCGGGAATAGCTTACTATCGTTGCCCACGTCGTCCAGCTCGGCCGGGAACCTCGCACGTCGGAGGCGCTCGCGCAGGTCTTCGAGCCCGGCATCCGGGATGGAGATTCTGTACGGCTTGATCTCGTCCGCCATGATTTCTCTAACTCGGGCCCCTTTTTTTTCCTTTCTTGTTTGTTGATCAAGTGCTCCTCCAATCTGTTACCTATGAGGTGAATCAATTGAAGAGATACCCAGATAGACGCTGACCCAACCACCAGACTACATATATAGACTTTGCGGCGCGGGCCTCGGCAGTGCGCACGCCATACGTGGGCATGATGTATCGAGTCGACCTATAATGACCGGGTGGGCCTCGGCAGTTCCTAATCTGTCCATAGATTACTCTCCTCGCCAGACTCGACCCTCAATATTGGCATCCCTGCTGTTAAATACCCGACAACCCTCCATAGAGGGGTCGTGGGTATCGTAGTTATTGGCTGGTCAATTATAGAAGCATGGACAGTGTTACCGCTCAGTCCAAAAGCCGAGAACATAACCCCGACCCAAAGACCGCCCAGCTGATGATTTCAACACCCAGAACTAATTTCGATAGATTCGTTTTTCTAATGCACTCTAGATACAAGGCAGTGTAAATAAATGCCAATGAAAGCAAATACGCCTTGTAATTCGCGATGCCGCCCCTCCCGCCGCCGCCGGAGAAACCCAAAAAAGAAAGACGTGTCTCGTAAAAGAATTACCCCTGCCTGGGACTTGTCGATCCATCCATCCCAACTTCATGAATCACTGCTCTCCACCCCTTTTAGACCTCGTTACTGGGATACGCAACCTTTAGCGTGGGCATGAATTCCTCCTTGATGCTCCTCGCGCTCACGAAGCGGCTGAGGATGTTCATGCTGCCGGCCTTGTCGTTGGTCCCGCTCGCGCGCGCGCCGCCAAACGGCTGCTGGCCCACCACGGCACCCGTGCTCTTGCAGTTGATGTAGAAGTTGCCCGCGGCGTTGCGCAGCGCGTTTTCTGCGACGTTGACGGCTGCCCGGTCGCTGGCGAAGACGGATCCCGTCAGCCCGTACTCGCTTGTGCTGTCGACGAGCTTGCATGCGTCCAGGAAGGCCTTTGCCGCGTCGCCCTTCGTGTCATCGTAGACATAAGTCGTCAGGATGGGCCCGAAGAGCTCGGTGCTGAGCAGTTTGTGCGCGGGGTTCTTGGTCTGGTAGATGGTCGGGTTGACGAAGTAGCCCTTTGATCCATCGTATTTGCCACCGACGAGGAGTTCTAGCTCGGAATCCTTCTTTGCGTCGTCGATCACCTTAGTTAGCTTGCTGAAACTAGGCTCGTGGATGACGGGTCCAACGAAGTTCTGTGGCTCCCATGGAGCGCCTATTTTTAGGGCACTGGTTTCCTTGACGAGCTTCTCCTTGAATTGGGGCCAGATTGATTTCGGGACGTAGAGGCGGCTTGTGGCGCTGCACTTCTGGCCCTGGAACTCGAATGCACCGCGCACGGTTTGCATGACGGCATTGTCAATGTCCGCAGAACGATGAATCAAATGGAAGTTCTTGCCACCGGTCTCACCAACGATGCGAGGGTAGCCCACATACCGGCCCTCTCCGGTGGCTTGACCAATTTGTCCGTAGAGCTTTCGGAAGACGGTCGTGCTGCCGGTGAAGTGGAGCGCCGCGAACTGCTTGTGCGCAAGAACCGTCTTCGTAACCTCCTCGGGGTTACCGGGAACAAATTGAATCACGTCCTTTGGTAGACCTGCCTCGAGGAAGATGTTGTAGAGCAGCCAGCTGGAGGCGATAGCAGAATCGGACGGCTTCCAGACCACCACATTGCCCATCAGGGCGGGAGCACCGACGAGGTTACCTCCAATAGCAGTGAAGTTGAAGGGACTGACTGCGTAGACGAAACCCTCAAGTGGCCGGTACTCAAGTCGGTTCCATACGCCGGGAGAGTTGTGGGCTGGTTGCTGGGCATATAGCTGCTCGGCATATTGAACGTTGAAACGCAAAAAATCGCACAGCTCGGCGGCGGAATCAATCTCGGCCTGCCATGCGTTCTTGCCTTGGCCTACCATGGTAGCAGCCATGATCTCGTATCGATACTTGGTAGCGACGAGATCGGCAGCCTTTAGAAATATAGAGGCTCGCTCCGAAAATGGCAACGACTCCCACGCCGGCTTTGCGGCCAAGGCAGCATCAATGGCTTTGTTGACATCCGAAGGCGAAGCGAGGGAGTAGGTGGCGACGGTGGTAGCATGATCGGAGGGGTTCTTCTGAGTGCCGGTCTGCGAAGTTTTGATCTGTCCGCTGGTTAGATAATACTATACACAGCGGAAGCTTCAGGGTCAGAGGATATCGTACGTGTTTACCTCCTACAACAATGGGTACTTCTATACCGCCTTTACGCCGGACAGCCTCGGCAGCGGAAAGAAGGCCGTCTCGCTGTGCTGAGTTCTTCGCGTAGTGATGCTGTTTACACGCAATCAGCTCACCGATGCCTAATACGTGATTGAGTGGATGGCATCGTGCAACGCACATTGGGCTCATTGAGAATCTGGGGGACCTTGAAGGTCGCAAGACTTGATGCCCTGGTGCTCGTCGTGCTTAAGCATCTTGCTTGCCGCAACGATTGGCTGGGGGCCGTCCTTGATAACGACGGCATGCTGGCAGACGGCGCCTGTAAGACTCTTACGAGACCAACGCTCTTCCGGGTGGTCGCCATTCTGGATGCTGGGTTTGGTGTGCTTTGGTATAGTATAGGACGGGTGGGCAAGAAGTGGCGAAATAAATATGTATCGGCAAGTCAGGGTGGGCACGACAACAAGCGTGCGGGCTTCAATCGCCGGCCTCCAATGCAACTGCCCGGATTAAATAGAGCTGCTATCTACCACTAGAACCCATCTGCTCGTCGTTATCTCGCTTTGCTACGGCATAAAAGGTGGTAGTCGCTACCGGACATCGAGACTTGTGTGGGGTGCTTGCCCCAAGTGACGGCAGGCTGGGGAGTAGCCAATCGGGTGCCGTCTATGCCGTAATCCCTGGAGAGAGGCATCCCGACCTCGGAGCGCAGTCCGTCCTTCGGTCCTCGGGCAC